CAATCCAAGTATGGATGAGATGCAAGCCAGGCACACGGCTGAAGTGTACAGCTCAGTGGTATTAAACACAGCGTTGTGCAGCCATCACCACCATCCATCTTCATAACCCTTTTCTTCTTGTAAAACTGAAACTTTATGGCCAATAAGCAGTAACTCCCCATGCCCCTCTCCCCCAAGCCCCTGGCAACTACTGTTCTACTTTCTCTGTGAGTATGAGTACTCTTAAGTGCCTCATACAAGTGAAATCATACAGTACCTTGACCCTTGAACAACATGGGTTTGAACTGCATGGGGTCACTTATACGTGGATTTAAAAAAAAAAGTAGTAAATACTACAATACTGCATGATCCATGGTTGGTTGAATCTGGGATAGAGGGCTGACTAGAAATTATGTTACGAGTCCAAGCTTATACTGCTCGCCACACAACAGGTCAATAAATCAAGAGACAAATTATTGGGGCAAGGTATAGCAACTTTATTTGGAAAGCCAGCAGACCAAGAAGATGGTGGACTAGCGTCTCAAAGAACCATCTTGCCTGGATTTGGATGCTAGTTTCTTTAATAGAACAAAGAGGAGGAGGTGAGTGAAAAAGGCGATACGTTACTGCAGTATTTCCTGGTTCTGGTCAGACTCTGAAGAGGGTGTGTTAATTTCTTTCCTGCAGCCTTTCACAGCTAGGCCTGGTCAGGTTGTTTCCGGCGAGCTAAACAAAGATATTTTTGCTTACCCTCACTGCATGGGAGGTAGGTTTCCCCGAGATGGGCCATTATGTGTACTTTAAGCTACAGGCAACATCCCTTTAGTGATTAACTTGTACCAAAAGCAGTAGAATACAAAGTAAAAGAAACAGATCCAATATAGAGTCAGATTTGTTCTTCCCTTTTACAGTTACATTTGACTTTTGGCTGTTTTAAAGATTGTTTGTGGCCCTTTAAGATTCCATATGAATTTTAGAATGAGTTTTTCTATTTCTGAAAAACACAGCATTGGGATTTTGGTAGGGATTACAATGAGTCGGTAGATCTCTTTGGGTAGAATTGACATTTTAACAATGTTAAATCTTCCAGTCCATGAATATGGGATGTGTGTTTATGTCTCATTTCATTTCTTTTGCAGTATTTGAGATTACAATGTACAACTCCTTTACCTCACTGATAAAGTTAACTCAAGTATTTTATTCTTTTGGACACTATTTTAAATGGAATTGTTTTTGTGATTTCCTTTCCAAATTGTTTATTGTTAGTGTATGGAAATGCAACTGATTTTTGTGTTTACTTTTTATCCTCATACTTTATGGAATCTTTCCTGACTACATTTGTTATTTTTAACAGCTTTTTTTTAATGGCTTCTTTAGAGTTGTATACTTATACAATCATAGCATTTGCAAACAGATTATTTTACTTCTTCCCTTAAAATTTGGATGCCTTTTTTTTTTTCTTGCCTAATTCCTTTAACTAGAAGTTCCAGTATACTGTTGAATAAAACTGGTAAAAGCGAGCATTCTTCCCTTGTTCCTCGTCATAGAGGGAAAGCTCTAATTTTTCACTGTTGAAAATGTTTGCTGTGGGTTTTTCATATATGGCTTTTATTATGTTGAAAAATAAACTCTATCCTTGTTTTTTGAGTGTTTTTATCATGAAAGGTTGTTGAATTTTGTCATATACTTTTTCTGTATCAGTTGGGAAGATCATGTGTGTTTTTTCCCCCTTCATTCCATTGTGGTGTATTACGTTGATGAACTTTCGTATGTTGAACCATCCATGTATTCTAGGAATAAATCTTATTGGTCGTGATGTATATTCCTTTTTAATATGCTGCTAAAATTGGTTTGCTAGTATTTTGTTGAGAATTTTTGCATCAGTGTTCATAAGAGATATCGGTCTGTAGTTTTCTTGTGTCCTTTTCTGGCTTTGGTGTCAGAGTAATGCTGGCCTCATGGAATGAGTTGCAAAGTGTTCTCTTCAATTTTGGAAAAATTTGAGAAGGGTTAGTATAAAGTCTTCTTTAATTGTTGGATAGAATTCTCTAGTGAAGCAGTCAAGTCCAGGGAGATTCTCTTTTGGGAGATTTTTGATTTTTAATTCAATCTCTTTACCTGTTACGGTTCTTTTCAGATTCTCTATTTTTTCATGATTTAATCTGGGTAAGTTTCTTGTTTCTAGGAATATTTTATTTAGTTCATTTTATTTAGGTTATTCAATTTTGTGCATAGTTCACAGTACTCTTATAATGCTTTTTATTCTATAGAATTGATAGTAACGTCCCTGCTTTCATTTCTGATTTTGGTAATTTGAGTCTTCTCCCTTTTTTTCTTAATTTAGCTAAAGGTTTGTCAATTTGGTCGATCTTTTTAAAGAACCAGATTTTGGTTTCATTAATTTTTCTCTATTGTTTTTCTATTCTGTTTTATCTCTGCCTTGGTCCTTATTATGGGAATACCTCAGAGATACTGCAGGTTTGGATCCAGACCACCACAATAAAGTGAATATCACAATAAAACAAGTCACATGAATCTTTTGGTTTCACAGTGCATGTACAAGTTATGATTATATTATACTGTGGTCTATTAAGTGTGGAATAAAATTATGTCTATAAAAATGTACATACCTTAATTGAAAAATAATGCTGTTGGAAAAATGGAGCAATAGACATGCTCAGCACAGATTTGCCACAGACTTTCAATTTGTGGAAAATATAGCATCTGCAAAGTGCAATAAAGTACAATAAAGTGATGTATGCTTGTAGTTTCTTCATTCTGCTAGCTTTGGGTTTAATTTATTCTTTTTCTAATTTCTTAAGTTGCAAAATTATGTGATTGTTTTTAGGTCTTTTTTCCCCCTGTTTCCTACCTATTTTATGGACTGTTTTTTAAAAAATTTAAATTTTTTTATTGAAGTATAGTTGATTTACAATGTTTTGTTAGTTTCTAGTGTACAGCAGAGTGATTCGGTTATACACACATATATGCTTCTTTGTATCCTTTTCCATTATGATTTATTACAGTATGTTGAATATAGTTCCCTGTGCTATACAGTAGGACCTTGTAGTTTATCTATTTTATGTATAGTCATTTGTATCTGCTAAGCCCAAACTCCTAATTTATTCCTCTCCCACCCCCTTTCTCTTTGGTAACCATAGGTTTGTTTTCTAAGTCTGTGGGGTCTATGTGTCTGTTTCTATTCTGTAAATAAGTTCATTTGTATCATATTTTAGATTCCACAACATATAAGTGATATAATATGGTATATGTCTTTTTCTTCCTGACTTACTGTGATAATCTCTAGGTCCATCTATGTTGCTGCAAATAGCATTATTTCATTCTTTATTTTTATGGCTAAGTAGTATACACGTACACCACATCTTTATCCATTCATCTGTTGATGGACATTTAGGTTGCTTCTGTGTCTTGGCTGTTGTAAATAGTGCTGCTATGAACACTGGGGTGCATGTATCTTTTCAAACTTGAGTTTTATCTGGATATATTTCCAGGAGTGGGATTGCTGAATCATATGGCAACTCTTTTTTAGTTTTTTTAAAGAACCTCCGTATTGTTCTCCAAAGTGGCTGCACCAGATTACATTCCCACCAGCAGTGTAGGAGGGTTCCCTTTTCTCCACACCTTCTCCAGCATTTGTTATTGCTAGACTTTTTAATGATAGCCATTCTGACTGCTGTGGGGCAATACCTCAGTGTAGTTTTGATTTGCATTTCTCTAATAATTAGCAATGTTGAGCATCTATTCATGTGCCTGTTGGCCACCCATATGTCCTCTTTGGAGAAATGTCTATTTAGATCTGCCCATTTTTGTATGGGGTTGTTTGTTTTTTCGTTATTGAATTGTATGAGCTGTTTGTATATTCTGGAAATTAAGCACTTGTTGGTTGCATTGTTGGCCAGTATTTTCTCCCTGTCCGTAGGTTGTCTTTTCCTTTTATTTATGGTTTCCTTTGCTGTGCAGAAGCTTGTAAGTTTAATTCTTTCTCATTTGTCTATTTTTGCTTTTATTTCTAGTGCCCCGGGAGACTGACCTAGGGAAGAACTGCTACGATTTATATCAGAGAATGTTTTGCCTGTGTTCTCTTCTAGGAGTTTTATGGTGTCATGTGTGATATTTAAGTCTTTAGGCCATTCTGAGTTAATTTTTATGAATGGTATGAGAGTTCTAACTTGATTGATTTATATGCAGCTGTCCAGCTTTCCCAATGGCACTTGCTGAAGAGATTGTTCTCAGACTTGATAATTTCCATTGTCCTGTCTTCAAGTTCACTGAATTTTCTGCCTGCTTAAATCTGCATTTGAAACCCTCAAGTGAATTTTCTATTTTAGTTGTACTTTTCAGCTGCAAAACTTATTTTTCATCTTAGGCTTTCTGTCTCTTTATTTTTGTTTTGTTTATACATTTTCTTGATTTTGTCTGTATCTAGTTCTCTGAGCATTGTTAAGACAGTTGTTTTAAAGCCATTGGTACATCTGCCATCCATTTTTCAGGGACAGTTTCTGCTGATTAATTTTTCCATTGAATGGCCCCTGTTTTCCCTGTCTCTTTGTAAGCCTTGTGATTTTTTTTTTTGTTGTTGTCACTGAAAATTGGACATTTGAATCTGAAAGTAGTAACTCTAGAAATCAGATTCTCACTCTTCTCCAGGATTTGCTAAGTTTTAGTTTTATTTTTTGATTGTAGACTGTCTCTCTGCTGAGGGCCAGCATGGGTGTAAACTTAAGGCCTTCTCATGTCTTTTTTGAGCCTTTTGGTGAGCATGAGCAGTCACATTGTAGATTCTCCCCCTATATGCAGTTGTTTGTGAATGTCCTAGTCTTTAACACAGGAAAATTAAGGGGAAAATAGAAAAATGAATAGGGGAACAAAAAAGAGTGCTGGCCCTTTAAATCCCCTAGTGGTCCAGCCCATTGGAGAGGCTTGCATCAAGGAGGCCAGGTGCAACAGCAGTGGCTGCCCACTTCTTTGCACTTCTGTGATCAGAAGCAGCAAACAGTGATC